TCAAATACCCATAAAAAGGGCACAAACCACTTTAGCTGCAGTTTGTAGAAAAATATCACTTTATTGTAACATTCCATACAACATTTCCAACACCACAAAATTCAACAGGCTAAAATATACCCCCATACTGTATGTATCTGAACAGGCTGAAATGCTGTTGTAAAGAGAAAAGAAAAAGCTTATATAGATGGCAGGGTCAAAATCCCACATTCACAAGGGACAAAAAAGTGCACACAACCACAAACCCATCAGAACTTGTATCAAACTGATGCACATTAAGCACAATGTCGACATAATGAACATCCAAAAGCCATGTTCAGTAAACATGATTAAATACTTCAATAGACAAACTGTTTTAATCAAGTTCAAATGATGTAGATGGAATATTTTACTTTTTTTATGCAAAACATATACCGTTTACAACCTGGAGTATTTTTTTTGCACATTAAAATTCAGTTTCTCCAGACAGACACTTTAGACATCTACTGCCTTTTCCGGTCTCTGTCTCTGAGGAGGGGTGAAAGCATATGCTGTTTTGTGCAGGTACTATCAGAGACAGACTCTTGGCTTCATATGGGGCCCCCTCTGAGTGCTTTTGCTCATTAATATCTTTTGAGAGACAGCAAAAAGAAAAAAACTCCCAGCAAGAATGTTTACAACGGGCTTAATAAAATGTAATCTGGTCCATTACCTAATTAGAAATATGAAAAGGTTCAAAGGAAGTCTCAGCCACAGTAGATTTAAAAACATTTTATGATCAACTGACATGTCATTCATAAGCAACTCAGATTAAATTGTAAAGAAAAAAACTGAGAATTAAATTAATTTAAATTAATTAATACATTCAGACTAAAAAAACCAAAATACAGCATCACGACTGTTTAAAAGCTTAATATAAATTCATACATTAATCATACAGACATGAACAACCAGGACTCTTCAGAAAAAGTGTCAAATGTAAGGAGTTAAATGGTATAATTGCTCAAGACAAGACAAGACAGACACATTTGACACTGGCGTTGATATACATTCAACTGGGGGCACAGAGCCTCATAGAAATGTGTTGCATATTGCAAATTCTGCCTTAAACAAGCGAGAGATTGCACAATATGGCGGTGCAACAGAGATCACATGACTCAAAACTGAGCTGAATTGATGTCTAGCATGAAAAGCTGCGATGTGTCCCATCTGCCTAGAACCCAATCTACTGCATAGAGTAGGAAAAGAGGAGACAATGCTCTACAATGGGCCTGCCGGGTCAGGTGGTCTCTATTGTTGTCTACGAGGATCTTTCATGTGCTTTTGTGTTTTAAACAAACCCCTTCAGACCCTGGATTTTGCAGAGGAGGTCTATATTTAGAGCAGGCTTTTCTTTGATCTCGCCTTCCATCTCCTCACACATTCTTTTGTGAAGAGCAGATAAACGGGCGAAAAAGGGCCAGCCCGTCCATGATGGGGGATTATTTTCACCTATTGCCAGATGGAGGACATAACAAGATATCAGGATTTACTTTCTCCTTTCATCCCAGTTGCTTTAGATGAAGCCAAAATCTGACGTGCCCGCCTGACAGATTTCAGCTTTCAGTAATGGATGAAGCCTCAGAATCTTTATGTGTAAAGAGGAAAATGTTTTGTTGGGGGAATTTCCACCCTGAGCTCTGATGGCACCTATTTTTTGTGTTTGTTTAGCACAGAAGAGAACACTGAACACTGAACACTATGTACTTGGACAGAACATTGCAGACCATAGCATGGTTTTCTTTTCAGAGGTATACCGCTACGTTTCAAATGGCACATGAAAGAGATAAAGCAAATACTCGCACCAGGACACAGGGAAAATTATTTTGAAGTGCATTTTAAAACTTTCTCCTGCATATATAGTATGCTTTGATACGTTAAAAGATGAAAAAAATCTGCAACAAGATTGTCATATGCAAATAATGCTAATAACACAAAATGCTAATTATGTTTTTCCCTGTCTGCTAACTCGACTGATAAATTGGCAAAAAGCTCCCCAAAAATTACAGATAAGAGGTTGGTTAGTAATTCAGTAAGACATCAGCAGGTGTACTGAGTGACACTATAGAAGGTGGGCTTGGAAATGGGCTCCAACTAACATGCTAACGTGCCAGCTCGCTCCCTGAAGCAAAATCAACTAGCGAAGCGCTCTTCCACTGTCTGACATTTGGCAGATTTACAAAGCTCTCCGCTTCTGCTCTTTTACAAGACTATGTGTAATCAAAATCTCCGGGGAAACAACACACAAACACACACCGCTTTAGCGTTAGCTATAAAAATAAAGCCAGTGCATCAGTTAGCTGCATATGCACTTCGGTTCATCTCGGCTGAGCGTGAATACGAAAGGATTAAACAATAAATGAGAACAGTGATCGGCTTGAACTAGCCCAATGCCACTGAAGCGTCTTAAGGCCAGTGTTGTGTTAGTCAGTCAAGGCGGGGTCATGTGACCTTTGCATATAGGCGAAAAACATACCGTATCTCTTCAGACGTACTGTAAGTGCCAAAGCCCCAGTGACTTTCAGAAAATAAAAGTTTATATATAGATAGATATTGACAGATACTCAAAATGAACTCTTGGAAAACAAACAGCCTTCAAAATGCTTTTAAGAAGCTTCATTCAATAGTCAAAGGAGACCAAACAGATCACTGGAACGGACCGAATCCATTGCTCTACTCAAGCTCTTAGAGAAAGATAAAAGGACCAGTCCTCATAATGTAAGCACTTTGTAGAGGTACCAGGAGTTTAAAAATTCAGTACATTACGTGGTACCTAACCCTTCCACACACATCCTGTAAAGAGACATGGATTCTCTAGCAAGAACATGTGTCCCAGAGTGTTCGACGTTCATGCTTTTGTCTCTTTGAAACTTCTTGTCAAACTCTTCAAGCCTCAAGTGTTCCTATGTGCACATGAGATGCGGCACACATGCAAGGAAAAGTTTTCCTTTTTGTACCGATGCCTCCCTCCCGTCGCTGTTCGCAGATTCTCCTCAGAGTTTGGCAATGCTGCCGAGTTCTCTTGACTGTACAATAGGATTGGTCATGAACAGGAGATTAGAGCTTTTCACAGTAAGGTTCCCATCCACACAGAGAGAGAGAGAGAGAGACAGAAGGGGAAAGGGGGTCCCTGCCAGTAAGGATTTTGGCTGGATGTCCCTTCGGCACAGCAGATCTCCTCCTTCCCAGCACTGGAGCGCCACAAAAGAGCCACAGAAAACTTGACAACTCTGGTGCTTACGTGTCCACATCTTCTTCACCTCATCCTCGACTTTAAAGGACACCACCTAGATGTCCTGCGGGAGGAAGCGGTTCATTGGTGTCATCTCAACACTGGGAGCAGGGCTCTTGCTTCTCTAACCTAATTGTTAGCATTGGCTCCACCCCAGGTCCGGAGAGACCCCCGGGGCCGCCGCCTGCGTACTGTCCCGTGTACGTGCTCTGGTAGGACACCGAGTGCTGGCTCTTCTTGGCCGCCAGGTGGTAGCGATGGCAACACAGCACCATGACCAACGTGACGCAGCCCAGGAGGAAAATGGCGCCACCTCCAGCTATTACGTAATACCAGTAGGTGGGCATGGGCTGCAGGGACACTGTCGTGTCAACAGTGGGGTCACTCCAGCCAGGTGAGGCTCCCCCTGGTGGAGAGACACAGAAGAGTTGGCTTGGGGTAGAGAGGCATGCAGACTGCATAGCTTCAAGCCATCTTGGATTGTACGTGAATGATTTTGCTCTGCTTTGGTGCTGCATACAAACAAAACAAACACAGACACGCAAATGCACATGCACGTCGCCTGTCCGCGGCTCCTTTACGGGCACTCAATAACTGTAGGGACAGACTTTTGTCCTTCTAAATCACATTAAGAGTGCAGAAATGTTTTATGGGTTGTGAACAGATTGTGGTATCTGCGCTAATTTCATATGCAACCAAATTCAAAGGCCATAAAAGCATATAGTGTCATAAGACACCGGCTGATGTCAGCACCTTCTCTCTTTTGTAATGCAATATATTGGCGAGCGTGTGTTTGAGTGTGTGTGTGTGTGCGTGCTCGGTAGTTTTTCCTTCTGGGGGAAAGTTCTGTTTTCTTGCATGCATGGATCTGTGCCAGCTTCATCTGCCTCAAGCCAAAGTCTTCCATGAACCCAACCCAGCAGTGCATGAAAACTGCTCACCCATCACACGTGTGTACACACACACACACACACACACACACAAACCTCCACCAATCACTCTTTTTATTCCCTCCACTTCATCTTTCTCCTTGCATAAACGCGCATGTAATCTAGGAATTCTGACTGCTATGGGAAAATGAATCTACTTACACTGGGAATCATTTCCACTTCAATTAAAAGAAAGGGAGGTAGTTACTAAAGGATTACGTTATTAGTGGGCTTGTGTGCTCCACAATCATTTAAAATGGAGTGTATGAGGATTATTCCACTGCAGCTGAATCTGATTGACCGCAGTCATACAGCTGCTGGGGAATAAACATATGACATCCATAGCAGCACAGCAGCTCAAACACACCACCAATGCAGAGTTTTGGAGAGTTTAGCTGTTCTCATTACACTGTTTTAAAATTGTTAGTACAGTGACTTCAAGAATTTATTTATTTATTGGTACATTTAAAATTTGATGAAGAACAACAGTGCAATGTCACCCCAGAGGAAAGATGAGAGTCAAATAGTTTTAAAAGAGTTCTCAGTGAAGTTTTGTATCAATTTTGTCTCAGAAGTTTCTTAAAATTCCATAGGAAAAAATAGACAGGAGATGTGTCTATTTTTTTAATTTTATATTCTGACCTGTAAAGCACCTTGAATTGCAATTTATATATTTAAGATGCAATACAAAAATATTATTATTATTAAATATTATTATTATTATAGAATTAGGTGAGAAATCATATTGAAATCTCAAGGGGTAATATGCCAACTGAATCTACGGCCACATTTGATGATGTTTAGGCATGACACCGACACCATATAACACAGCATGTGATGTGGGGCTACAGATGCATGCTGGGATACAGCCCATGCTCCAAATATCCATATGACAATAATGATAGTGAGGACAATAATCATGACAGCAATGATTTGACATAAAGGCACCAACATCACTGAATGCACACATAAACAAACAAACTGCACCGGCGCTAAATCACACTTCATTTAAACTTTGTTGTGGGACTGGAAACAGACTTTACAGAATCCCTGTGTGCTGCTGGTGTGAAGCTCAACAAAAAGTATAATGATTATCAAAAGCCCTTCAGGTGATGCAAGCTGCTAGGCAACAAGCAGGAAGCACAAACATTGGCACAGGAAATGACAATATGCCAGAAAACTCACCAGTCATTTCAGGGGGGAATGCAGCGAAGGGTTCTGAAATGAGAGGGAAAAAAAGAAAGATTAGGTAAAGAACTGGCACAAATGAAGTATATTCACATAAATAACAACGGTGCAGATGGAATTCTGACACATGTGACTGAGTATGATTAATATCATACGAATAAATTACTCTGGAGCTCCAATTCCTTGACAAAATTAATTCTGAGGTGCTGTAAGCGATGTTAACCATTTCACTAACTCTCCAAAATCCTATTTTACAACTGTCTAAATATATCCTGATATCTCAAGACACCTATTTGAGTGATGTCTATCATGTAGGAACATTTCCTGCGTGATATTCATTATAGCCCCCTTGACTACATATGTAAATTTACTTTAGCTCATCATAAAGACTTTTGTGTAGTAGAGGGGTCTGAAATGACAAACATAGGTTAAGGAGAAACAGTAAAAGTAAAGAAGGGAGGAAAATGGGATTGGGCTGTGTGTCATTTCGGCAAACTGTGCTGTGCACACACACACTCAGAATGCCAGAGAATCAGAATGCCAGTTCAGAATGTTTGGAATGCATTCGCTTTAAAAAGGAACTCTGCAGAGAGACAGGGGACAGATGTGGCAGCGACGCAGGGCTGGCGCATGCACATCGAACAGCTAATTAATAAGAGCAGTCCCAAAGCTGGGGGCCTGTGGCAGCTCACATCAATTTTGATTCATAACTAATCCTGATTTTGCTGATCATAGTTTAAATATAATAAGTCACATGTTCTCAGAGGGAACAGCAATGTTTTGCTCAGTAAATAACCTTCACAGCATTGTTAGTGACTGGTCGTGTAACGAAAATCTTTGTTCGACATTAATGTCTGTTTGTGAAAAGCTACACCGTCGAGAGCAGGCCTGTCTGGTTATTCCCTGGCATGGCTCTGGAAAGCTCTGTTTACAAATAAGAAAGAAGAAGGAAAAGAAACTAATGAAACATAGATTGGGATCAGAGCCCACAGGGTGAGTGTGGCCTAGTTTTCAGCTTTTTGCGCGAGCAGAGCACTTGAAAAACACTTTCTGTGTGATTAATTTTTTCTTGGGCTTGAATGGCAAGGGTAGGGTGGGCATGGAAAGCAGAATGGATCATTTTATGACATGCAGGGTAAACAAAATTTGTTTTTTTTTGTCTGCCAACGCTGGGTAAATTTAGAAAAAGTATATTTTTTCTCCCTTAAAATCTATAAATATTTTTTACCTGCCAAAAAATATATATTTTCAATGTTTAATTACAAATAAATATTTAAACATATAAATAAAAGTACATACAAATTCTTATGTCTTTTTTCCAGATTTGTTAAATAAATTTTTTTAATTTAATTTAAGTTTTAGTGGCTTGATGTAAAGGCTGTTTTTTACTCGTGTTTTACTTGCATTTGGTGCTTGGCAGGTGTTGATTTTGGTCCCTGGTGACCAATATGGTGGATGACGGTTGAAAGAGAGAAAGACAGTGAGACAAAGAAAGACCCAGATGTTAATACTTACGTGTACACTGCTCAAGCTCGATGCTGGAGCTCATATGGATGTTGTCGACCCAGATGTGCCCTCGACTGCCACGCTCGAAGAAACCCTCGATGACAACCTTACAAATTAAAGAGAAAAGAAAGAGAATTAAAGACTACATTCAGATCAGGACTGTGTTACTGCTGTCAGTTCATCCTGTATTTCTATCAATATATAAACTGTCATACCTGATATTCTTTAGGGGACTGAGGCAGGATGGTGCGGCCTTCTCTCCACGTGGGCCCCTGGTCTCCTTTCAGCGCCCAGAGCAGCGCCTCCTCCTGGTCATCGTCCCGGAGCAGCACACGGAGGCTGCCCTGACCTTCACCCTGCAGCTGGTAGTAGAAGAGCAGACAGACGGGACGGTGCTCGGGTCCCACAGACGGGCTCATTAACCGCGCACGCTGCGGCTCTGACTTAGGACTCGCCTCCACATATAGGAAATTTCCAAAATCTGTAGAGAGTAAGAGACGTTAAGTGATGACGTTAAACATCTTTTGTTGGTCCGAAACATGTTCCTAACTCTCCAACCCTAACCAGGATGTAAATCCAGGAACATGTCCTACTTAGTGAATCACTGTGAGCTAATTTTGAATTCTTCCTTTTTCTGTTTCTTTCTCACTGTTACACTGCATTAAACATTCTGGTATGTTTTTATGTTTGCAAAATGTTAAATAATTGATCTTTTTTTTTTTTTTTTTTTTAGTGGAAGTAGAAAATCAGCTCCGACATAAAAGCACATCCCCTTTTCAGAGTGTTCAGAAGAAAGAGTATTTAGAACACAATCTCTGTCATATCCCAATGTGGACATCTCAGTAAATCGGAAGAAAAGTGAATGGGAGAAGAGAGGAAGAGCGGAAAACAATGATCAGAGAGGAGGCTGAGAAACACTTTGTTAGTGATCGGACTGGACAGCATGGCACCAAAAATTATCATCATTACCCACGCTGCCTCAGCTATAATACGGAAGCTCCCACCTTCCACAGATGCACAGAGAAATAGTACAGTCAATTCTTTCCGTTCGCCCTACTTTGACACATTTCTCATACCAAACTTATTTAAAATACAGCACTGAAATCAGAGATCAGATCAGGCTCTCGCTGGTCCTCCTGTATGAGATGCCTAAATAGTTTATGCATTTAATTAATGCAAAAGAACTTCCTCTGTTTGATCTTGGGTATACATATAAAAAAATTAATTACCCTTTCACAGGGAAAGTTCACCATAGCTCAGAGACTGTTTAGCTTAGGTTGATGTGCCTGTGAAGTAACCAGAGGGCAGGGAAAGGTACTTCTGGGATTATTGTTTTTAAGTGGAACCTTCTACACATAGAGTTAATTAGGCTGACTGTGTATTAACCCTTTCTGGACCTCTGGTTTTCTGTTTCCTGGTTAAAACACTGGGGTATGAACACTCTGGAGTGCTGTTCCAGGAGCCATAGGATCTACACAGCTTACTGTGATGTTTTATTGGAGTGAGCTGTGCTATAAAGTGAATGAGTTGAGCAGCTTTTGTCCAGGGATGCTGGGAAGTGAAGCCAGAAACATACTCCACAAGTATGCATTAAAAAAATCTGTGGAAAAAAACTGTGGAAGCCCATTTCTGCCTCAGATTTTTTACTTACAATTGTGACTTTTAATCTCGCAATTGTGATTTTATATCTCACAATGTGACTTTATATTAATTTTTTTACAGGCAAATCTATTTTTTTAGACAGACACACACACACATATATATATATATATATATATATATATATATATATACTGTATATATATATATATATATAAAGGTATATTTTATGACGATACACCAACACTTCAATAGAGGATGCAGTCAAAAGAGAAGGCCCCAGATGATGTACTTTTGCCGAGTAAGACATGTTCCTGGATCAACATCTTTTGTTAATCCTGGTTCAACATTACTGTCCAAAAAGACAGACTTAGCCCAATCCCCACCCCTAAACCTAACCTTACCCATAATTTATTCCTAAAATCAGAGGGAAATGATAGCTGATTAACTAGGGTGTAGAAGCACCTAATCCTGACTGTAAGCCTAAAACTGACATTTCCTGAAAAGTTATCTCTCAATTCTGATTGGTTAATTGGAATGATGTTCCAGGATCAACAAGGATGTTGATCCAGGAACATGTTGTACTAAAGCACTACTTGCAGCAATGTTAGGAATGCATTGTGTACTTGTGTTATGAATTGGATTCAGACACATTTCAGACCCCAACAACATGTGAAATCGAGCTTGAGTACCTAGAAGTTATTTTTTTTTGCATTAGGGGATCTACACAGTTTGTTTGGAGAAGGTGAGGAATGTGAAGTGACACCCCTGGTGTAAAAGAGTGAATAAACACAAGAGAAGGTCTCGAGCTTGGGGGTGCTTTTAGTTTGGGAATGGTTTAAACAGGAGAGGATTCTTTCCTTTTGACTCCTGGATCTCTCTTTAAACCCTGACATGTGGAAAACAGCAAAGATTGTTTTAACAGCCTCACAAGGCAGAGTGCTCCAAGAAAGCATGGGGGACACGGAGAACTGTATATTTGTGTGTGTGCTCAGAATTAGTGAAGCACTCCCAATTTTTTTTAAGCAGGGTTGATAAAGGTCAGGTAAGCTCAGGGATATGAAGAGAGGAACAAACTCCCAGAGGAGGAACGAGGATGGACTGAGAGAGTGACAGATATTATTCCCAGATTTCAACTATCACATTAATTACACACCAGTAATGAGACGGATGGATGGAATATGAGAGGTGAGCGCTTGTGCTTGTGTATATGTGCTAGTAAAGAGGACAAGGGCAAAGGAAGGTCTGAAAACGTCTTTTGTGCAGTGCGGTCACCATACAGCACTAAACTTTTTTTCAGACCTTCTACCACTGTTCCTGTTTATTTCCTCAATTATTCTTATTAAACAAGCACACTTGTCTTCTCAAAGTTCCCAATGCTATCCCAAAATTCCCAATGTTTATGTTTTAAGAGATTAGTGTAAAGATTTGTTGGTTTGTTTTAGGCTATGTAATATCTTTTAAGACGGACTTACTGTCAGATCCCATTGTCAGGTCCAGACTAGGACTGGAGGAACTATACAGAGACCACTTCAGATCGGACATGGGGTCATGGGTCCATCCACACATACTCTGCTCAAAGTCACACAGACCACCCAGAGACGAGAGAGTGGTGGGAGCTGGGGAGAGAGAGAAAGAGAGAGCAAACCAGATTATACTCATTTTCCATGACCTCAGACCCTGCTGTAGGCTCTCCCATAACACACACATACTGTATGTGCCTCGTGAAATCTACAGACATATTTGTCTAACTGCATAGCTGACTATACTTGTGTAAAACTATCTTGGGTGTAAAGCCTACATAGTCCTATTATAAATGTATTTTGTACTTGTATATTTTATATATTATATATGTAGAGATTTGTCTCATTTTACATACACAGATTCCTGTCTCGCTGCATCTGTACAGATTTGTATCTCACTGTATGTGGCAGATTGCAGTTTGACAGTATGTGACAGATTTCACTGTAGGTGAACATTTACAGTCTCACTGTATTTGAAAGATTGCCATTTCAGTAAATATGCACAGATTCTTGTCTCACTGTACAGTATATGCACTGACTGGCTCTGCTGCTGCTGGTGCTGTGTTAACATGCAGACACCCACAGACTCCAGCACAGCCTCATCTACATGGAGTGCTGTGCCTCAGCATTTAGCGGGCCTCCGTCAGCCATCCATCCAAAGGCATGCTGCTATGCTAGTTAGCATAATGTTAGCATTCATGCTGCGAGCCTCTACTCATCAACAGATAAGTGTGTACAAATGGAGGAGCGGCAATCTGTTATTAGAGCTCTGGGAAAAGCAAGGCTGCAATTACACTGAAGAGTACTGTAAATAAAAGTGTATGTGTGCATGTGTGATATACTGAAATGCTTGCTTATTTAACACAAAGAAAGACATGCTCTTGATATTCTCATTTCATGTCAGTAAGGTTTTGAGCCTTTGTAATACACATAGATAAGATTGAATTTATTGATTTCCACTCTGTAATGAGATCTGATCTCATTCACTACAGTAATATATTCTGGTAAGGTGCTCTGTTTGATTACCTGGTGTCCTGTGGGCAGTACTTGTCTCCTCGTGAGGAGGGAGGGTAGGCGTTGCAGTGTCAGGAATGGTGGTAGATTCTAAAAGAAAGTAAAAAACAGCACATATAGCACATATTAGAAATAAGACATTTACTGTGGACTGGAAAAACTCGTGAGGCACTCTAAAAAAGATCCTTGTACCAGTTCTGATTTATATGCAAGTCTGCCTCACACACACACACACACACACACACACACACACACACACACACACACACACACACACACAGGAAAAACACTCCTCAGATATGAAATGACAGAATAATCACACACGATCGCACACAGGCATGCATGCACACCAGCATTTGTCCTCCAAAAAGTGGCCACAACCACCAGACACACGTGAAACAGAATGAGACAATTAAAAATGTGCAATGCACCACGTGCACACATTGTGCGTTTACAATAAGAGAAATATTACAAAACCACAACTAGAGAAAAATTCGGAGCATCTGAGAACTATTTACTGTGAAATGCTCTAATTGATAGAGAGAAAGTATATTCTGTAGAATAAACGGTTCATCAGCACTGCCATTACACCTCAGACCACTGCAGTTACTGTACCAGTTACCCACAATGCCTTTCAATTTGAAACCACTGTTACCACAGCTATTTTCCATGAGTCACAAAACCTTTAAAGAGGTTCCCTCCACTGACACTGTCTATCGCTGACTTTCATTTTCATACAACAACAAAGTTCACTCCTTTAGCCTTATTTCTCTTCTTTCTCTCCACATCTCTCGTCTAGGAATTAATGTTTTGTTTTGGCTAAAACAACACAAGCCAGACGGCAACAAAAACTTCAGTGTCGGCAAACGCAACAGTGCTCTTGCGTGGTTTCTGCGGTGATAATTTGTTATGACAGAAAATGTTAAATCAGCCATTGCATCTCTCTTCGTTCCCCACGGGGGATCGAGCGAATGAAGATTTAGAGACAACGAGGTGTAAATGAGTAATGATTGTCAGCTCTTAAAGTCATTAATGTCATTACTCTTAACAATTCCCCGCTTAATTGGCAAATACGTGAGTGGCGTAACACTAATCATGTAGACACTTTAGCACAACATGAAAAGGAGAGGCCTACTGTAATATTAATATGTTATTAATTTCTATAAGCGGGTGTGTACATGAAAGGGATGCACCAGCTGGTTGCTGCTGACATTAAACTCTATTAATTTTCTGCCCTTTACAAATACAATTAACCTCCCAGCAAGTCCTGGATATCTGGGAACTGAGAGCTCTCTCTCTCACTCACCTAACACACCTTTCATTCTTTAGTCTCACATGCGTTAAGTGCGAGACAATCCTGTCCCGACTAATGTACACCACCATTCAAACGTTTGGGATTGGTAAGACTTTTTAAATGATTTTTTTAATGAAAAAAGTCTCTTATACTCACGAAGACTGCATTTATTTGATTAAAAATACAGTAAACATTTATATTGTGAAATATTATTGCAATTTAAAATAACTGTTTTCTATTGTAATTTATTTTAAAATGTAATTTATTTCTGTGATCGTAAAGCTGAATTTTCAGCATCATTACTCCAGGCTTCAGTGTCACATGATCCTTCAGAAATCATTCTAATACGCTGATTTGCTGCTCAAGATACATTTCTTATATTAAGGTAGAAAACAGTTGTGCTACTTAATGTTTTTGCAGAAACCATGATATATATTTTTTCAGGATCCTTTGGGGAATATAAAGTTTAAAAGAACAGCATTTGAAATAGAAATCGTTGTAGCATTATATGCCTTTACTGTCACTTTTGATCATTTTAATGCATTCTTGTTAAATAAAAGTATACATTTCTTTGAAAAAATCATATTAATAACGACCTTTTGAACAGTAGTGAAGGTTTCCCTTGTTAACAGGATGAGTCAAGTATCACAGTATCATAGGCTGATCAAACAGGTGTTTTCATTTACTTGTCAGTTAGGATAATCTTTAACAATTTTCAATATTATTTACGAAAATTTTAAGATGGACACCTGATATTTCTCTTCAAATGACACTCATTTATATTCACTCTATGTGAAATATGCTGCTGATTTCTCCTGATACCTGAAGCTCAAGCTATGGATCAGAGCAAGACACAGCAATAGATTTCCAATATGCTCCAAAGCTCTATTGACGCAGCCAATTGATCTGGATCCCAGAACTCTCTGGGCGTCGCCTGAGATTTCCTCCACAGCCTGATAACACATTAAGGCCATGAAATGTTTCCAAGTCTAAAAGACAGACCAGATATTTACAAGCAAGGGCTAGTTTTGGGGTCACTCCTCCTCACCCTGAAGGATTACCTTGTTTTTAACCTCTGGATTCAGGGCACAGAGCAGAGTCAGCCCTGGTTCCTCTCTCATGGGCCCCACTGAGCCTCGGCAATTTCTGACTCAGCATTTTCATAGCAAGATGGAAGAAATTTTCAATTATGTAGAAAGCCTTGGAGTAAATCTATGCCCCTGGCAGGCGGACCGGCTGTACTTCAGCGGCTGACTGAGATCTTGAGCAGACACTGCATTACAAGGGAAAACAAAGACTGATGTGCGTTTGGGAGATTGTGTGGAGTAACAATCAGAGAACAGGAGTCAGATCGGATCAGCAACAGTGAAAGTGATCATCAAAAGCTGATGTGAGTGTATTTTAAACAATGCGTTCAAGTCACAACCACATTAAACGAAATAGTAAACACACACGCATACTTAAACACTAACGCTTATTCATATGCAACCTAATTAAACTTTTCCAACTTGAAAGACGAGACTTTTGGCCTCCAGAATTCAATAACAAAGCCGTTTTCCAGCAGCACTGAACTAATTAAAGCTTTTGTCTCTGTGTCTTTTGAACACAGAAAGTAACAGAAGGTTTATCGTGTTATCTCTGAGCTAGTAAATTCCCCAAATACAAACGCACAGACACACACACACTGAGTTCAGACAGGCCTGTTTGCTAGGCCTCTGATAAGGACTTTCCTCGTGAGCTCAGTTAAACCAACAAATCATCTCCAGGTGATGGATATCAAATATGCTTCACATGCCTAGAAATATTCAGGCTCAGAGTGTTCATATTCACATCAGATGTCCTCAGAGAACCCTGCTTCAAAACAACAGTGGCGATTTATAAAACCAATCTTCGACTGGCTCGATGGAGAGTGAATACAAACATTTCAAATGTAAGAAAATACAGTTACAAAATGAAGAAGGATCATCTTCAAAACAGTTTATAAAGTTATACACTGCACCTAACCCTGGCTAAAATGCTATGGTGGGTTGTTTAGCACCAGATTTCAATTATAAACCTTCTTAATGCTTGTCTATATGCAGATGTGTTGCATATGTTAAACAACGATGGCAAACCATTAATTGCAGTGATTAAGCTACAGTATGTTTCAGTAGATTTTACCAAAAGAGTTTAGCCGAAATAAAATTTCAAACCCGATCTCATGAGAAAACAACTATTCTACGATTTGGTGTTTTCATATGAATTCATATGTTTCGATTCATACAAAAAAACAAAAAAAACAATAACAACCAAAGTATAATGGTCCACCCCTAAACATAACCATCAATGGGGTGTAAGCAGACAAAACAGACATGTACAAAGCAGTATGAAAACAAATAAACTGATTCAAATTCATAAGAATTCACCACCATTTCGCCAAAATGTTAAATAATTACAACTTGCCATGAGAGTGTTTGAAAATTCAGTCATCACTTACTCACCCTCATGTTGTTCCAAACCTGTATTGACTTTATTTCTTCTACAGAACATAAAAGTTGATATTCTGGAAAAATTTCTGTTTTTTTTTTGTGTCTACTGTGAAAGTCAAATGGGTCCAGTGTTGTTTTGGACTCCACTGAATAGTTGAAACAGTTGAAATACTCTTCAAAATATATTCTTAATAAAGTCACACAGGTTTTGACAGAATTATATTTTTTGGGTGAACTAAAAGTATACATGAGATTTCCAGTAGGAAAGCTGTACTGTACACTGGAAAGACCATATAGTATGCACGCATTATATAAGGAAGAGCTGGGAAGACGTGCTGTATGGAAAAAGAGGAGGGGAGGAGTGGAGATCAACTTAAATATTTACACTGGGAGGATATGAAGAATGACATGTGGGCTTTGTGGGTAAATGCCTGTGTGCAAACATGGGTTGTGTAGGGGGACTACACTAAATAGAAACATGTGGTTGATAACTTCAAAGAACCAATTCAACTAGACGAGGGAAGCTGCTGTCCTTCAGCTCACATTCATCGATCCCGATAGAGAGATAGCAGTGAAAGATGGTGAAGAGCCAGAGAGCAGAGAGAAGTGATTACACTCTCCTCGTCAAAGATGAGAAGAAGTGGAAACAATTTTCCATCACATCACCAGCTGCCCAGGCAAAGAACGTTGTGTCCTAAACCACACCCACTGTTCCCGTGATGGACAGCCACAGGCCCCGCTCACACATCTGAGAGTGATCAGTGAGCACTGCACATGCTGAGATCTATTTCTTTCTCTTTCAGGTGTGTGGCATTCTTGTTCACCCATGGATGGTGTGTTTATGTTAGTACCATGTGTGGGCGATAGGTTAGAGCAGAACTGAGACTCGAAACTCAAATGCTTTTAAGGCAAGTCAGCTCACTCATTGACCATCTTGGCCCTTGCCAGCTATTTTATGTCTAAGTAATAGGCATAAAATACAGCTCCTATATACTTGAATAGTAAAAGTCTGTCAGGATTTTCAAACCATATTTTAAATCTTCAATAAAATCACAACAATGGCATCATAAATTTTGATTTATTAGCTCAATTCATACTGAAATAGCTATTTTCAGGCTGGTTCAAGTATAAAATAAAAACTGAAAGGCAGGACTTCCATTGTTATAGGTGCTGTAAGCGTTGTGATTTCTTCCATTATTTTTGTATGAGTGGTCCATCTTCTCCTTATAGGAACTTTCGGTTACAGACTTTAACTCGCTACTTCTTTACATCATTCCTTCAACTAATTAAACTGCAGTAACCCTGTGCTCCTGAATCTCAGAACCTCCACTTAGCCTGAGCAGGGAGAGACGTCCAGGTGAGCCCAGTCTCAAAGGTTGCACGCTATGGTAAAGGTGTATCTCTGCAGCTCCTGCGATTTTGAGACACGTTGCACCCAGCAGAGGTCACTGTCCTCACTCTCTCTACCCCTCTCTCACTCTCTGTTCTCCAAGAGACAGGAACCTCTGGCTTGACGTGAGTCCAGTAATGAATAATAGACAAGGGTGCCAGATTGAAAAGTCCTTCTGTGTCTTTCATGGTCTTGCTCTCACAAGGTCTGTCTGCCACGCCTCTGTTTATTTATTCATCAATTCATTATTTCTCTCCTCGTGTCCCTCACTCTAAATTTCCTGCCTCCGGGAGAGTGATGGGATTTGGGGACAAAATTGTAGCTTAGCCACAGCTCAGAATAACGCCAGGAATGCATGACATTAGTTTACGTGTATTTGTATAGTATATAGGAGCAGTATGGTATACTATATTTAATGATATATGATTTCAGTTTGACAAATGTAATGCACAGTTAAATGGTCATTATCATTAAATAAACCCTGTCAGGGTGATCAGAACCAAGACATGGAGTACATGACTGTGCATTATCCTACTTAGTACATGGCTGCTTACCAAATAAATGGACATTAAATATTTTTTTGTGGACATACTAAATTTTTTTGCATGTAAGAAGAAAGAGACTGTATTATGATACGAGAGAAATTGTTTGCTTGGGGACAATGGTCACTTTTACAGTTATGCGGTTATTATACCACTCAGAATCAAGTATTCCAGAGATAATAACTTGTATTAACCTCTCTTTATGTGAAATTAAATATGTGTTTGTGTTTGTGTGTGTTCGGGAAGTATACAACTATGAACGCAGTGGCAGATGTGTGTGATTGGCGTAAACATCTCTGTGCAGTGGAGTGAGACTGATGTAGCCCTGTGAATATTTAACGTCTCTCTCTCTACGAATCCCCACGGCCCCTCAAAATCAGAACAACAGCAGCCCCGGCCCCTGCGTCACTCACCCTCGCACCCCAGCTGCAAACAACCACAATTTACCAAAGTACAGTGTGCTTTAGAGAGCCAGATTAGGACGATCTCATTCAAACGAGGTCTTCAACGTAGGTCTGTATGTTTTTTGTTGACAAACGGCTCCTTTGAGGACCGGTACCGTTAGTGATCACTGTGGATGTGCCTAACAGATGGTAGGAAATGAAACAGCCATAATGTTATGCATATGGGTGGAAACAAAGAAAGTACAAAAGAAAAATACACACGGTTCAAAGTCACATGTAAGTGTATATAACACTGCTGTAGCTGGGGGCGTTGTGTTTATTTTTTATTAAAACTGATAATTCTGACTATAAAATCTGCCTTGATGAGCGAGGTTGCTGCCAATAGCCAATGAATACACACACCAGTGGTTGCACATCATTTGCATCAAATATTGCTATATATTGCTACATGCATTAGCCTTCATGAATTGTTTATCTATTATTATTAATCCGTTTTGTCATGCCCAAAGCCATAGTATAAAAACAAAACAAAACCCTTCTTCACTCATCCTCACACCATAACTGCAAACAACCACAATTTACAAAAGTAAAAACAAAACCCTTCTTCACTTACCCTCACACCCTAACTGCAAACAACAACTATTCACAAATCACAAAAGTAAAAACAAAACAAAACACTCAAACTTTGTCCCTCACCCTAACACCACAGCTGCAAACAACCACAATTTACAAAAGTAAAAACAAAATATAAAACAAAAAACAAAACAAATCAATACAAAAAACATAAAACAAAACACTCAAACCCTGATTCACTCACCCTCACACGACAGCTGCAACCAACCACAATTTACAAAAGTAGTTTGCTTTAGAAAACTGAATTAGGACGATCTCACTCAAACCGTAGGTCTGTATGTTTTTTGTTGTCAAACGGCTCCTTTGAGGACCGGTACTGTTAGTGATCACTGTGGATGTGCCTAACAGATGGTAGGAAACGAAACAGCCATAATGTTGTGCGTACGGGCAGAAACAAAGAAAATATGAAAGAAAAATACACACAATTCAAAGTCACATGCAAGTATATATAACACACGTGTGTTTGTGTGTCTCGGGATCTGCATGTGATTAGATTTACTGTGGAGATTAGGAACTGGGGCTGTAGTTTCAACAGTGAGTGGGGTAGATTGAGCCCCCTGTGTCTCGAACATCTGGTGTGCAGTTGTGCGCTGCAGAGCCTCACCGCACTGTCATCGAATTTCCTCACGCAAACATAACCGTGTGTACACAAACACAATCTACCGTCAATCCATTTTTCGTCACTCATTAACTCACTGGCTTTGATCCCTCCCTTATTTCTTTCATCTGCTTTGATTATCCTCTCTTTCTCTCTCTTGATCTTTCGTTCTCATTCATTTATGGCCCACAGGCTCTGTAAACCTGTGCCAGTATTGCACCAAGCACCACCGATGACACATGAAGCTTTCATCCCAGATCTCATCTTCTGCCTGCAAAGTGCCACCAACTAACCCTGAGCCAGCACCGGCTCTCTGTCTGACTTTTCATCATGCCTTTCTCCTCCTGCAGTCCTGCCATGTTAATAAACCTGGGCACGGAGCCCTGAGGCTTCCCCTGGCCTCCACCCACATCGTCCTTTCTAGCCGTCCTTTTCATTAGAGTTCCTCTAATGCTCCTTCGGCCCCGGCGCTCTTGCAGACACAGAGCCATGAAGACAGCCCATCGATTACTGCCCCTCGGCCTGCCGCTTTATAAAGCCCAGGCCAGGTCCAGAGGGAGCAGCCATGTGTCCTTTTGGCTGATCGTCATGCTGTGACAGGTAAAAGAATCAAGAGGAGGAGATATGAAGGACATCGGGGACAGAGAGCAAAGATGGAAGTGACAGAGAGGCTGTAGGACTGCTCCGCTTCTTTCTACTGCTATAGCTGGGATATTCAAACGGATAATTCTGACTATAAAATCTGGATGATATGAGCCTCATTGAACTTGCTGCCAGTAGCCAATGAATACACACATCTGTGACCGCACATGATTTGCATTATATATTAATATGAAGTTGCTACAGGCAATTTAAACAGCCTACAGCTAGGCTAATTAACTTTTATTACTCAGCGGATTAACTGTTTATCGTAATAATTATTTACGATATAAACAAATAAATAAAAATGAAAAACTAAATAAAAAACTAAACAAAACAAAACATACACAGGTCTTACCTGGCAAGTCACAACCCAGTATCTCCAGTCTCATTCCGATGCCGGCGGGAGACCATCTCTCTGGATACACTCGGATAAACTGGGCCACAATCTCGTCAAAGCGACGGATCTCTGGGGTGTCGTAGTGCGTGTTACCCTCAAAAATCTGGAGGAGCAGAATCACAAAAGCACTTTAGCTCAGCTGTGTGATTGAGAGAAGAAAGCTACTGCATATTCTCTGTATTTCCGAGTCTCTGATGCAGCTCTGCAGCTCAGGTTTTAATTAACACAACTGTGGATGATTTCACTGGAATGTTATCAAAGCTTGCAGCCTAATTGAATTCTGCTCTCAGAGTGGGAGATTGGGAATCTAGAAGTGAAATGCTGAGTCGCTGAGATGAGCAGGAAAGAATGAAATGAGTCTGCTAATAATCTGATTCTGGTGAACTGTTCATTACTGTAGCCCTTTCAACGACCCACGATATTTAAATTTGCACGATTAACTAATTAACCTAATTCAACTCTAGTTTTATTCTTCTGTTCAGTACTTCTCTGCTGGAAAAAACGTTAAATATTATGCGGTGGTTAGCGTGGTTAGGCTGGATTTTTACTGGTTCAAGGTGGTCTAATTGGCTTAACTGGCTTTCGACCAAGACCAGGCCGAAACCAGGTTTACCTAGATCAGTGGTTCTCAAAGTGTGGGGTGTGCCCACCAGGGGGGGCGCGGGTCATCAGCAGAAAAAGAAAAGAAATAAAACAGTAAACAGCCAAAGGACGTAACTTAGAATGGGAGATGGATCGGTTTGTGAAAGGGAAGAGAAAAGCCATAAATGAAGTCGCACAGACCCAGGCAGTTGCTGGTAATTTAAAAGCTAAATGCAGAAAATATGACGAGGCATATCTTGCTCTCGGCTTCACTCACTGTGTCTATACTGGACACTACAGTTGTCCCATCACGCCGCAAGTCTACACTGGACGCGACAAAGCGACCGTTGAAAATCATTTTAACTTTGTGTCAGTACGTCATAAATAGAACAAGACATCAGTTTAATGTTGGGTTTTGTCGTGTCGCATCGCATCCAGTGTACACAGTGTCACTGATTGTAATGGTTCTACTGTATTTTGCAGCTCGCGTCCGGTAGGTTTAAAGGGGGGCGCGACCAAAAAAGTTTGAGAACCACTGACCTAGATAATCAATTAGATCAACCTGAAACAGACTGAACCAGCTAGAATCTAAGTACAGTCAATTACCACTTTAACCATTTAACTGTTTTCTCAACTCATTAGGAGACCTTAGTTTGGAAGCAGAAAAATAAAATAAAATAAAATAAAATAAAGTAAAATAATATAATTTTGTCTTTAAATTAAAAAACTTTGTTTTGATTGTTGTGTTTTTTCTTAGCAGCATTAAAGAAGTCCTGCATCGTTCTCACCTTTGGAAGATTGGTCTTGGAGTCGATGATGTAGCTCCAGTCTTTTCCATTCAAGCTATGGGAAAGTTTATACTTCCGCACGAAGGCCCGGTTCTCCGCACTGGTACTGCCATCAACCCCGCGGGCCCCTTGCGTGATGATGCCCCGTACAGTTTTGGGGACTCCTAGGTCCACCTGCAGCCATTCTTCGCCAGCCACGGGCTGCGTGGGACTGGGAAACCACCCTGAGCGGCTGGCCACCAGTCGGGCCGCACCTGTGGCCCCGTGGATGTCCCTCATGGAGGAAGCCGAAATCTGCGAGTCCGGGAGGAGGCCAGAGAGCATTCCCTGCATCTCGGAGCATGGAGCGTCTGAGAGGAGGATGGACAAGCAGATGAGCTGAACCAGCTAGAATCTAAGTACAGTCAATTACCACTTTAACCATTTAACTGTTTTCTCAACTCACTAGGAGACCTTAGTTTGGAAGCAGAAAAATAAAATAAAATAAAATAAAATAAAGTAAAATAATATAATTTTGTCTTTAAATTAAAAAACTTTGTTTTGATTGTTGTGTTTTTTCTTAGCAGCATTAAAGAAGTCCTGCATCGTTCTCACCTTTGGAAGATTGGTCTTGGAGTCGATGATGTAGCTCCAGTCTTTTCCATTCAAGCTATGGGAAAGTTTATACTTCCGCACGAAGGCCCGGTTCTCCGCACTGGTACTGCCATCAACCCCGCGGGCCCCTTGCGTGATGATGCCCCGTACAGTTTTGGGGACTCCTAGGTCCACCTGCAGCCATTCTTCGCCAGCCACGGGCTGCGTGGGACTGGGAAACCACCCTGAGCGGCTGGCCACCAGTCGGGCCGCACCTGTGGCCCCGTGGATGTCCCTCATGGAGGAAGCCGAAATCTGCGAGTCCGGGAGGAGGCCAGAGAGCATTCCCTGCATCTCGGAGCATGGAGCGTCTGAGAGGAGGATGGACAAGCAGATGAGTTATGGTGAGGCAAAGAGGAATTGACATTTTAAGGCTGGAGAGATTAATGTTTCATGTTGTTATGTCATGAGAGAGGCCTTAGGAGTAAATAATAAATAAACAGAGCATGTGTGGGTGTGTTTTTTATGTGTACATCCCCCCCGGAGTGGGTGTTTGTGTGTAGGATTTATTACAGGAAGAATTTCGTGTTCCAGTTTTTCTAGGTTCACCTCTACTAAACAGCAAACCCACTCAGCCCAAAACAGCCATTCTCTGGCTCAACCGGCACAAATACAAAAGGTACCAGAAATAAATGATTGATTTTGGCCTTTGGCTTAAACATGGAACAAAAGAACAGGAAAACAGGCTGGGGCATCTTGGTCAAGCCCATCCTAACAATCTCTAGTTGAATCACACCCAGAGGTACACCCACACTCCGACAGAAAGAGCAGTAAAACACAGAACGAGGCTAACGGTGCAAACGTGATCGATGGCTTCACGGGCATCTTTATGAGCTCAGCTCTGCTGGATATCCTGCGGGCTGAGCATCACTCTTTCACAGGAAAGACAGGAAGGGCAGCGACACGCCTCACTGAAAGCAGCTTGTTCTGGGCTGGGTGCCCGAGGGACAACGGCCCCCGCGGGACTGCAGCAGGTCTAATATGGAGGCCAGTGGCGTGTCCGTGCGTCGTTTGTGTCAGTGTTGAAAAAGACCCCGTCTCTAAAAGCACATTTGTCCTGCTCAGTGTCGACGAAAATAGGAGCGAATCACTGTTTAATAGCGTAATGATGGAGTGTGATGTCTCTGATAACATCAGTGCAAAAGCAGCTCACCTCCTTCATCTGCTGCAGGACATGCTAACAGAATTAGGTGACTGCTATCTCCCCATCTCCATAAATAGCCAAACTAAATCAGGACCCTAAAGAGCTCTGATAAATACACATCTGAGCTCACTTGACAGGGACACAGTGGGCGTCTGGAACAATATTTGTCACGTGCAGTATCTGTGGGCTTACTGCGTTTGAAAGTTCACATGAGACAGGGAAACTTACCTTATAGATCTATATCTACCTGTTTAGATATTACAGACATAGATAATGATATAAATAGGTAAATATTAAAATCTATCTTTATATACCCATTTATATCTACCTTTCTACGACGAGGCGTTCCCCATAGCGACCCCTAGAGGACGCAGTTCGAAGTTCCCATGAAAGGGAACTAATCCTTTAAACACTCAACTTTTTCTTAAAATTTGAGAAGATCCAACATTCAAAGTTTGTCTTTTTCTCGATATTTTATAATTTTATATCTAAAAGTTAAAAACCACAAACCAGCTCCCTTAAGGGCTGGTGAAACATTTTGAATTCTGTGCAGACTTGGAGAAAGATGTGTGGTGAGAGTTTTACTGACCCGTGATTTGACAGCCAGGGCTTGCTGCGTTTGAAAGTTCACATGAGACAGGGAAACTTACCTTATAGATCTATATCTACCTGTTTAGATATTACAGACATAGATAATGATATAAATAGGTAAATATTAAAATCTATCTTTATATACCCATTTATATCTACCTTTCTATCAACCAACCAATTAAAGGATTATTGCAGTTTCAATACAGCTTCAGAGGGCTCTACACGATCCCAGCTGAGGAATAAGGGTCTTATCTAGCAAAATGATTGGTCAAAAAAATTTGATACTTTTTAACCATAAATGCTCGTCTTGCACTAGCTCTGCAATGCGCATGCGTGACTTTATGCATTACGTAATCATGTTGGAAAGGTCACGCGCGGTTAGTTCTTCATCTGTGTACTTTGCACTTTGTAAACACTGGGTCGGTACTTCCGCCTACATCACAACATCCAACGTGATTACATAATGCGTGAGGTTGAGCTAGTGCAAGACAAGCATTTGGGGTTAAAAAGTATATAATTAAAATTTTTTTAGAAAATGACGATCGTTTCACTAGAAAGGACCCTTATTCCTCGGCTGGGATCGTGTAGAACCCTTTGAAGTTGTCACTCTATGGGATTGAATGTTGTCACATAAAGACATTAAATCAGATGCAACCACATGTTTTTGGGTGTTGTCATTGTTTACATCAGTATGTCAGATGGATCATTAGCAGGCAGCTCCCAGGGTATCACAGAAATATGCCATGTGCTTGGATGGACAAGATGACAAGCTTTGATAGCAAATCTCCATCTCTCCTCCCTCCTCAGAGACGCAAGTCTCTGTCAGGGTCTTTGTCTCCAGAGAGAGGAAGTAGGAAAGAGGAGAAAGACTAGAAGAGGGCGAGTCCTACTTCATTGCACACACAGAAACAAAGCTTGGACCCTAAGGACCTGACCCGTCTCAGGATCCAATGACATCCGGGCCAGCTGGCCCGGGTCAGGTCTGTGCTAGGCTGACTCGTTCGGAGAGTGAAGAAAGAGATTAAAGACGGGTTCAAAAAATGAGAAGAAAAAAACCTTCTGACATTTGGTAAATTGCCCCAATATATCATAAAATAAAAGAAGAAAACTATGAACTGAAGAACTGTGGTCATTAATCATTGTGCATATGGTTAGTTAAAAGCAGAGACCTGGGGCAATTGTTCAATTTTTCACATATTTCATCATAACTCTCAGATTACTACAAATCTACCTGCCATTTTTTGGTGTGTGAAACATTTAAATGTGCCAATATTTATAATACTATTAAAATATTAACACTGAGAATGCTTCAACCACAATATTGAATTGAATACAGTAGGTAAGAGTATTGCAGATCTAATAAATGAAGGGCAGCTGGCAAATTGGGAAAAGACTCAAATAAATAAATTATGCCTTATTTTAATGTTATTTTTACATTATTATTATTATTATAATTTGTTTGTTTGTATTACAATCATGCCAATAAAAAAGTATTTTTCCATTTCAAATTGAAATTGAAACTGAACAGAGCAATTGAGGTGGGGCTGAAACAGAAGACAAGTGAAACCTTGGGAAAAAGAGTGTAAAGCTGTTGTCAGTAGGAAGATTCAGACATGCATCACAGAAATCTGCTTTTGTTTAATGACCTCATGATGGAGTGTGTGACCTTGCCCCTTCACTGCCTGTGAAGTTTTTCAACACAGCACAGTATCAAACCGAGCTAAGACAGGCTGGGGGATCCGGTTCAGGACCACCTCTGAGGGGTCTACGTTCGCATGGAAAACCTAAGGAGACAGAGAGAAAAAAGAGGGAGATTTATGACTATTCTGGAGGTGGTTTGGCTGAGGCCACACATTCAAAAACAAACTAACCTCACAAACAAGCACAAACTCTCGCACAGTAAGAGCTTCTTTACTGTGGTCAAGTGAGATTGTGACTTTAATCGCTGTTAAAATACACACACCACTGAACACACACATAGACGCCAATGTTTGCATCGTAAATTCAAACATGAAACGTTGTTTCCTCCAGAATGAGTTAAGACAGTGAGAGTGTTTGAAGAATCAGTTGTCACTCTATGGGATTGAATGTTGTCACATAAAGACATTAAATCAGATGCAACCACATGTTTTTGGGTGTTGTCATTGTTTACATCAGTATGTCAGATGGATCATTAGCAGGCAGCTCCCAGGGAGCCAGTGTGTGTGTGTGTGTGTGTGTGTGTGTGTGCGTGTGTGACAACTGGGGGTAAGAAGTCTGTAATATATCACTTCTTAAGTGTGTGGGAGAGTCCTATTTCTCATGATTCACTGATATAACCTAACACACACCCAGAACTTTTGAGAGAAAATAAAAAAATATATCAAGAAGTGAAATATTTGTGAAATATTTCAAACTGTATTCATTCCAAAACTGTACTCTTGGCAGTGCTATCTTTGTATTATTTATATGCTTGTATAGGTTTATTAGCTTTAGTTTTTTTTAAACATATTTCTTTTTAGCTTTAATTACAATTTAATTAAATTTCAGTTTTAGTAACTTTGCTACTTCAACTTATTTTCCATTATTTTTAACATATATTTAACTTAGTCGGCAAGGCAACATTTCTATTTTATTTCAGAGGTGTGCTATTACTTTTGAGACTCACAGTTTTTAATGGGCAAATAAAACCCTTAGACTTGCATTGAAGGAAGAAACTGTGATTGATATATAGCTAAATCAATGGATATATGGTTATATCTTTTGACATAACCACCTAGCAAACCGCTAAACCCACTAAAAACACATTATCAACCACCTACTACATCATTTCGTAGTTTCTCATGTGAAATTGCAAAATATTAATAATATAAAAATAGTTAGTTACAAATGTTTTTATTTACTGTTGCCCATGGACTGGGCGTCTCCCTTTCCTGGCTTCTGATTGGCCAACTTGTTTAATCCAAACCAGCAGGAAACTAGGAGCCGTGAGACTCTTATAACAGATGAACAGATGTATATCACATGGGATTTAGGACAGAAGGCCCACTGGTCATTATGGATGAAGTTCCAAGCTCAAAGAGGAGAGTGTTAACCATGAAGATGCCAAAATGATCAAAAAGCACAGAAAAAAAAAAAACTAAAAGGCATAACAGGATTGAGAAGTCCAATTACTATGAGGACGTTAGGGAGCAGGCTGAGAAGAAGCTGAAGAAGCAGTGATTTCCCACTGGCCCTCTAAGACAGAGGGAAAGGGGAAACGAGAGGAATGACAGAAATGACAAAGTCCCGGACTCTGACAGCAGCAGTCAATCTATAGAGGGGACGGAGTCAGATACTGCTTCTAGCCAAGCTATAATACCTTTATTATTTCCTTTCGTCTTTCCCACACACGAGCACCTGCTAATGTTTTCTTTGCATCCCTGAGCTACAATGGCCCCTGACTGGTGTTGTGTTGACAGACACACAGGTGCTGGTAAAGACAGACTCCCACACACTGAAACAGGAGAACTGCTGTCAACCCTGCTGTCTACTGATACAAGGCCACCCTTGCATCCTTTCCCTCCTTTTTTTTGCCCTCACACTGTCGGTTTTTCGTTGTTTGCTTCTCACTATGCAGTCTAGACGTAATCTTTGATTGATGTACTCTCTGCGTGTGCATGTGTGTCCGTAGTCAGAGACATAGCAAATGGACACAGCCGTCATTGGAAGGTTTATGCTAAATTACGATCATGAATTATGCATTTGAGTACGTTATATCACGTTCCCTCAGGCATGGCTGCTAGTGTTTCCTAGCATGCTGTCTGTGGGGGGATCATGTATGTGTTGTCTGTCTCAGGTGATGATGTTTTATATGTGAGTGGGGTCTGAGTGTATCTGGTGTTAGATACAAGCATACGTTTTCAGATTCTTGTGGAAAAATCTGCTATACTTTTATATGGAGGGTATTTAAACATGGTAAAACTTGTTAAGCAAAGTTAAGAGTACTCTTATTGGCAGATGAAAGGATAAATAATGATTTAAACATTATTAACTTACACACTGGGAAGGACCCACGATGTTCAGAAATTTTCCAGAAATACATTCCCAAAATTACATATATATACATATATTACTACATTTTCACACATATCTGTTTTATTTCTGTCCTGATTGTTTATATTCACTTTGGGATAACCGACTGTGTTTATATTCAAACATTTACAGTAAAAACTGGTCTGCCCTGCACTATTACTATATATCGCACAACTAATCATGTTCATTTGTAAAATTCAATGAGCTGCACAGATATTCAGCCAAACTTTAAGAGCATTTAGCTTTGTATACAACTCATTACTAAATAAAACAGGCTGCAAGACTATGAGGAAGACTCTTACAGCTCACATGGAACTACAGGCCATGATTCTTCTTATTGAGCACCAGGTTTGACACCAAACAATAAAAAAGGTTGATAAAGACGTTAAGGAGTGTTTAGATTCAAGTCATGCAAGACCTCATGTGTGTTTTTGTTTATACATATGCAAAAAGATCCAATCAATGCCAGATACCTGTGGAAAAACAGGAATTTGTTGACAGCACAAATGGCTACAGTGCTGCTGGTCTGTCTAGACACACACACACACACACACACACACACACACACACAGACAGATCAATGAGGGTGGATGTAGATTAACTGTTATATGAATTATTGAAAAATCACGTCCGACAGTCCAGGAGTAGTTATATTGAACGAATTCCTTGGAAATTCATCAGCACAGGAAAATGTGTATGTGTGAGGGAATATTCATGAGATGAAATGGGTCCTCAGTGATGGCCAGCAGGGCAGGTTCCTCCTGGTGAGGAGTCCCCAAAAAATGAGTCTGAATTATTTAAATGTCTGGCACTAGGGCGGTCTACTTAAATAATAAAAATCCCCCAAAGAGAACTCCCTATGAGGTTAAAGTGTGAGGACACACACACACACATGCCTCCTGTGAGATGTTGTCACTGTTAATATAATAAAGAGAGAGAAGAGAGAATTTGTGGTCACAAAAGAGTGGACACTCTCTCCCACAATGCCTGACTGCTTGGGCTGGGTTACGGAAAGCCACATGGCCACAACAGGGTCATGGGAGATGAAAGAGGTGCCGCGTTCCCTGCTCTGTCCATCTTTCTGCCTGTCTGTCTTTTTGTCATTCGTTCCCACCATCTCTCGCTGCTTTGCATTGGCTCGCTGCCATGCGTTTTTTTCCCCTCAGACTGATGGGGCCGCTGGGAAATGTGGTCAGCGTTTACAGCTCTGCTCGAGTCATTACTCTCTCTGCCCTTCTCCTGCTCTCTCCCACACCTCCACGGCCCAGATAAAGATGTTGACAGAGCAGTCGGGCTCCAGTTGGCTGCAGGCCAGTGCAGGCTCAGCCTCAGAGGAGGAGAAACATGGAGAGAGACAAACAGAAATAGTTCTGTGACAAATTATTTTATAAGTACAAATATTCCATGTAGCCTCTCGATTAATATGAGGTCATAAAAACTGCATGTAGAATAATTATAGAGGAATTAGAAAGTTCAGAAGAGCTTTAGATGAAGTATAACTTGATGTGTCAGTTTTTCCTTCGTCAGTTTGGAGGCTGTGTGTTGGCTTTGGGCCCCTGGCGGCCCTTGGCTGTGTGCTCTGCTGTCAAGGATGGTTTTGACTGATAGTCTGCTGGTGGCACAGCAATGAGGGGTATACCTGAACACTGTGGCCAAATTTGGTGTGTTGCTGCCATTCACTGATTGCCATATGACAGAAAGCAGGTGTTTATTGTTTAGTAGGGCTTGTGATGTGTCGTGAATTTTAAATACTACTAAATACTTTCTGACAAAATTTAAATCAAAAACTTCAAGAGTGCAATTCTACATGTTGTAAATATAAAACACAAAACTCCCTCTATAAAGCTTATTTAGTGTGGAAGCTCATCTTTTGGATTACAATGGCTGACAGACTAGATCCTGTTCGGAGGAGAAAACAAAACAATGAAAAATGTTGATTTGGTTCCTGCGTTCCTCTTAAATCCCAGTCTGCATGTGAGATTGAGTTGGAGGGATTGGAATGTGGAAGCCCTCCCTCTTGCTTTACCTTCCCACTGTGTTTCTGAAAAAAATTCTGGAAATTTCAAATAAGTAAGCAACTTGTAGAAGGATTCCTTTTTGTTTGATCAATCAAGTGCTGCAGGAATGAGTCCAAAAAAATCTGCCAAAAATTTATTTTTGCACTTCAGGTTCCATCATCATTGTTCATTTTTATGGGTTTTTGGGCTGAAACAAGGGTGACATGCTCATAGTTGAGACAAGCTCAAAGGTTTTTCATGTTTTATACAAAGACATAACATACATTACCTTTGACTTGTCTTGGGAAAATCATTGCAACGAATAGGAAAAGTCACTAGTACACTAGCACTAGTATACTCACTAGTCCATATTCACAGCCTCATTGTGTTTATACTTGTGCTCTTGCAGACTATTCTAACTTAAACTTCCCAACTTGTAGATTTTAAATAAAAACTGAAAGATTGTCAGAAGCTTAGTGTTGGTGAGGAAGTTGTGCAACTGTGGTATTGCTTATACCCTAACATTTGCTTTTTACTTCAGGTGATTGCATTATCTTGGTAAACTAAACCTATAAAGCTTCTTGTTTGCAATAAGCCAAAAGCCAATTGAAAAATCCTACTGTCTTTTCAAGGAAACCAGCAGATGTGGGAATACTTCCAGACAAGTTTCTCAAACATGCATCGTTTTTTGCAATTCTGCTTCTATTTTGGTGAAACTAGCAACAAAAAAATGACACATTGCCGCTTTAAGTCAACTTGGAATCGGTACACACTGTAATTGGAAGAACAGACGATATGTTTTATGACCCTCAGAGGTGTAAATGTTTCCTCTAAAACCACCATTTGTCACAGTGAATGAAAACCATATTTGCACGACCCCACTAAAGACAGGTAACTGTGTATTTTTGTTTGAGTATGTGTGAAACGGTTTTCACACATTCCACCATCACACACTCTGGCTGTGCTTTATGCAGACAACTCGACTCAAAGAGCATCTATTCTCTAGTCTATGACATCACTAAAGGTTAAACCCTCAGCAGTACACTCCCAAAGAACAGAGGAGTCCTCCCGGGATCTGGCAGCGGTCTTCCATTATCCACGCGCTCCATGTGAAGCGGAGGAATGCACAGAGATGGACGGATCTGTCAGGCTGCTGTTTTGAAGTCCGAGCTGATGTCATCTCCCATGACAGCGCTCTCTGTTGCTTCGCCTTAGGATTTTACACGTTAACACACATACCATATGCTCTCTCTCTATATAACCCCCCCTTGATGGTATTGTTAAACAAGCAAGGAATTTACCAGACGTTCATAATGATCTCTGTCAATGACAAGGCTGCTTTAAACGGTCACGATGACCTTAAGAGCAGGTGTGGGACCTTACAGTAGGGACTCACTTATTTTTCCCACCAGTGGAAATGGAATTGAGGCCTTTTGACCTCCTTGCAATTTGAAACAGTATGTTTGTGAAAATAGCATAAATTGTTCTGTCATTACTTTGATGGCTTTATCAGATACAGTCTCGGGAGGGAGTGTGTGGAAACGACACAGTCGTGGGATTGGCTGTATATATGCATGTGTTTCTGTGTGCTGGGTTTCCAGTAAAAGAGAAGGGGATCTGTAGTTCTGTTCCAAAAGTGCTAAACACTATTTTAAGTAGGTACTGTTTCAGTAGGTATGAACTGGCATAAATATGCTGCCTTTTTTGGTCAAATTCTACGGCAACACTCTGCATCCTTGCCCAGAAGTTTCTTATGCTTAACAAGGCTACATTTATTTGATAAAAAAAGCAGTACAAAAAGGAAAATTAGTGATATATTATTACAATATTAAAATTTTTAAATATATTTTAATGAGGGTTTTATATGAATATTAATGTATTATAAATGTATTTAAAGTGATAGTTCATCCAAAAATGAAAATTCTGTCATTAATTACTCACCCTCATGTCGTTCCAAACCTGTAACACCTTCGTTCATCGCAACTACAACGTTCAAAATTTACGGTTGAAACACTGATGACTATTTTAACAATGTCCTTACTACCTTTCTGGACCTTGAACATGTCAGTTGCGTTGCTGTCTATGCAGGGTCAGAAAGCTCTCAGATTTCATCAAAAATATCTTAATTTGTGTTCCGAAGATGAATGAAGGTCTTACAAGTTTGGAACGACATGAAGGTGAGTAATTAATGACAGAATTTTCATTTTTGGGTGAACTAACCCTTTAAGTAATTTTATGCTGAACTTGTATACTGAATTCTGATAAGTCTCAAATACTGAACAATAAAGGTCTCAAAAATTGTTCAAGCCAATTAAAATGGCATATGTTATCCTCATTAGTATATTAGTGGTAAGCACATTAATATGATTATATCTGTTTGAATCGTTAAAGGAGTTTTGCTGTGTAGAGTGTTCCAAATCAGCTATCAGGTAATGTAACTTATAAGGTTACATTTCAGTTAGGATGCTGCTTTATACTGTAGCTTCCTATATACGCAGCACACAAGAAGGTTTTGGAGCACAACTGTGTGTGTCTGTGTGAGATCTTATCAGATCTGATTTAGCAGTGACTGAATGAGTGTGCTGCAGGTAATCTAGTAGTGAACTGAAAACCCGCCACAGCAGCTGAGGCAGTTTGAGAAGAAATTAAGCCCAGCTCTGCTGATATCACACTTACACCACACACACTTACAATCAGCCACCAGCCTACAGTGATCTTCCTCAGCAGCTCTTGCTGTTTGTCCGTACACACACACACAATCTGTCAGTGTCCTCTGGACCAGGGACACACACACCTCCACCATCATTATTCGAGACCGATGAGAGCCCGATGTGGTGCTATCAACCCAAACCATCACCACACAGCCCTGAAAAATAATAACCTGCCTGACTCGAAATCCATTTACATGACGCTCACATACAAAACTGTTTACAGTATTGCAAATTTACATTTTTTTCCCTATTTCCTGTTAATCTATATAGGCGATATTAAAAAAAGTCATGACTGAATGCTTTTCGTCTGCAGGACTGAGGAATCTTGCTAGATAGCTGCCGACATTGAAATATATTCCTTCCAGGCATTTGAATAAACAGAACATTACTAAATAGTACCATTTCTAAATGGACACTGACCAGTCACGCCTCCCATAAGGCGCGAATCACCCATTCCGACATAGCCAGACTTCTTAACAAAGCTTAGCTGAACTGAAACCAAAGCCGCAAAAACAGCGAGCACATTAAGGGAGAGAGAGCTCTGAGATTTTCTGGAAGATTAAAGCCAGAGGCTATTCCAGCAGGAGGTCCGGGGCTAAAGACCCAAACGCCATTTGGTGGTGGCCGGGGTCGTATCCGGCAGGTTATTCTCAGTGGCGGCTGAAGTTTTTTACAGCTTCTTCCAAAATCATTACGCTAACATCAGAGCTTTCACATGTTCCCCTGTCTAGCAATCAACTCCATACAGGATTTCCAGAGGATTTGTTAATAAATGAAGATTAGAGATGATTAGTTTTACATAGGCCTTTCCACTTTTTTCAACTCTCTCCGTTCTCTTCCATTTTCTTTCCACTCGAGCATGTTCACTCGGTTTCTAATAACGGAGTCCTGTCTAGTTTCTCCCATCAGCCTGGACATCTAAAAGGAGCATCTTAGATTGGCATTAAGATCTTAGATTGGTCTTTCTTATTAGTTAAGCTAATAGAACCAGCAATTTAACTAACCCATCACAGAAACTGGGTAGAAACTATACTATCACCTTTTCAGTTCTTTTCTGGTTCTCTGAGTCTCACATGCACATTACTTCATCTCTATAACCAGCACAGGAAAACAGAACAACTGAGTGCTTTATCTCTCACAGGTGCCGTTCCCACGTGATCGTACCTTGTGGTTCTTGCCGTAGCGGTAGATCATCCAGTCTTCTCCATTAGTGCTGACCTCCAGCTTGAAAGTGGTGACGAAGTAGGACTTGTGTGTCTCTTTAGAGACTGCACCCTGGGTGGCGATGCCTGTCAGGACCTTCAGGAAGTGCAGGTCCACCTAAGGAAAAAACAAATGGAAAAATTAAATTAAATCTGTGCTGTTATAAGGGTTTTTGTTGTAATTAATTATGACAGGGCATTTTGTCGACTGCTTGGTTTTCTGTTTCTGTGGGTTGTACTGGGTAGCCCCATCTACCCAAAATTATGGTCCACATTAAAGTATATTAACTTTCAAATATCTTCAGATTGGTTGTCATAATGTCACATCACAGTTTCATTGCTAGTGTGGACAGACAAATTCGCAAATTTGACAAATGTCATGCACTAAAATGTTTATTGCTTTGGATAACAGATTTGAACAAAGCCCTAGTCGTAAATATCAGCCTAGATTTTTTTTTTATTAATAATTTCAGATAATTTAGTTTTTAATTTAAGTTTATATATTTTTGCATATATTTTTGATATTGTTTAAGGATATATTTTATTACATTGAATTAAACTAAAACTAAATAAAAAAAATTTTATCAATTAAAAATAATTGTAAATATTACATTTCTCAGGGCTGTCTAGTGTTACAACATATTGTGTAAAATTGAAAACCAAACTAAAATTAATTTGTTACTATTTTTTACTTAATTTCAGTTTGTTTTGGAGCCATGAACATTTATTATTTTAGTGTTTGATTTTCCAGTTATATTACTTTAATTTACTTTAATATTGTATTCTAGTTTCCTTAGCAATCCCACTAAAATCAGGATGATGAGAGAGTGAGATAAGTAAAGAAGCAGAAGGAGAGATGAGAGAGGGATGTGAGAGGAATGAGATAGAGGGAAGAGCTGAAAGATGGATAGAGCTGTGGGAATATGAGGCATCCCCTCCCTGCAGATCACGGGCGGCAGCGAAGGTGTTATCAGAGCCTTAAGATCAATCACCTTAGCTCTGATCGATACTAACCACCTTCATTCAACTCTCCCTCTCTCCACACAGATTATCACCCTCCCTCGCGCTCCGGACCCCCCCCGCAACGATGATGATGATGATGATTGCGGTGTGAGAGCCGCCTCTCTGCCCCTCCGCCTCTACCGCAGTGAGCTCCTTAATCAGGCATTCAGCTCCCGTCCTAAGGAGAGCTGTTACCCATGATCCTCGGCTCTCTCTGCTCAGCGGGATGTCATCCGAACATGAGCAGGAAAACTGCAGTGTTTGTTATCTGTCAGAGAGACAGGTGTGGCTTTCACACACAGATATGAGCGTGCGCACACACACACACACACCTAGAACCTTCTGTAAAGCTGCTTAGGGCCACAGAGAAACACACCTAGACAAAAAAATCAATAGAACCCAGGACTGCTGCTAACTATTTATTCCAAGGAAAGGACCCTCATCAATCAAGTGGCTGTTACCATCAGAGCGGGCTGTGCATCATCAACCCCTGCATGCGCCCAGACACCAGGGAGAGAGAGAGAGAGAGAGAGAGAGAGAGAGAGAGAGAGATGTAGCCTACCACGTCTGAGAGGCGAGTCCCTGATGAATAGTAATAAAGAGAGAGGGAGAGAAACAATGAGAAAAGAGCATAAGAGAAGATCTGATGAGATGTTAAAGAGATGTTATGGGTTCAATACAAGTTAAACGCTATCATCAGCATCTGTGGAATAATGTTGATTACCACAGAAGATAATTTTGTCTCTTTTCTCAGTAAAAAAAAAAAAAGATTTACATGGTCATAATACTGAGCAGAAAAAAAATATTTTGCAAAGGTGATCTGAAAATAAAATAAAAGAATATAATGGCACCAATTAGTAAGTGCCCTACTGTATTTACCATTATTTTTGCTTAAATAAATAAAATAAAAAACAAAACAAAAAATAAATAAATGAATAAATAAATAAAAATAACCTAAAATTCACTGAAATTAGATTCCTTCATAATACAGTACGGCCCTTTTTTGGACATTATTTTGAAACAGTATGTTTTTAACAGTTAGCCCTAATTTGCAAGTGCCATACTGGAGAAATAAAATAAAATAAACACACACACACACGCACACACACACATTTTTGTTTTTGTGAATTGTGGGGACATTCCATAGGCGTAATGGTTTTTATACTGTACAAACTGTATGTGCTATTGCCCTACACCAGCCCTACACATCTCATGCTATGAGCTGAACATACAGACATGTTAAAGGTATATTGCATTCACACACACACACACACACAAATAAAACAAAATAGAAAAGTAAATTAAAATAAAATATAGTAAAAGTCTAAATTATTTTCCATTGTAAACAATATTATGCCACAGATGCTTTCAACAACAGATCTTAACTCGTATTGTGCCCACAGCATTCATTTAAGGTAACTTCATCAGTTAAGTTACCCTGAAACCCTGGATAAATCAACGGATATCAATGATACACAGATCTCAGCTGCATGTACACACCTAAAACAGAACAACCTTCTGAACACACACACAACAGAGCCGAGGCGTCTGGGTGAAGTATGGTCCTCGGGCATGTTGGCATTTATGACAGCGGTTTGTCAAGATGGATGCCTGGGCCGTGGACCCTGAGAGCGAGGGAGTGATGTCAGGTGTTAACACAACACAACAGCTGTGAGCTCTACCAGAAGCCCACAACTCAGCAGCATCCTGACACAAATACGACACACCACTTAAAGTAACACCAAAAGTAATGAGGCTCATTTTGAAGGCCTGGTGTAGCACCTAACCCGGCCGACTTCCTGCCAGAACCAGAAATCTCAAATCCATATGTCTGTTCACAAGACTTTTGAGATTCCACAATGCATTGTAAGCAAGTTGAGAAGAATGGGAACTTGTAGACACGCAAGTGAGAGAGAGGAAACCTCACCTGGATGTATTCTTTGTTGCTGTCCTCATTGGGCGTCCAAGCGTTATCTTCAAAGTTAAGTCGAGCCTGTCTTGGGGACCATCGGCCATCATAGAAGGAGGATGATGCAGAGATCTGGTCATCGCTGATCTTGTTTGACTCCATGCCAAGAGCATTACTGCAGTGGAAATCTGAGGAACACAGAATTTTTCTTATATTAAAGCAGAGATAAAAGACAGACACGCAAATAAACAGCAGTGTTGCTACTAACTTTGTAGTCTGATTAATTTTATTGAATCATATTGAACGGGTTTGTTCAGTTTATGTAAAAAAACTTGTTAAAAAGATAAAAAAAACACCCTCTTAAGTAGGTTCCATTTAGTTCCAACTACATTTTTGTATTGGTAGATGGACCAACAGTTCAGTTTCGAAGCTCAAAGAAAAAAACATGACTTACTGTCATTGACCTCCTTGAAAGTCATGTTGTAGCGAGCAGAGAATCCATCTTTGGCCACGGCCATATCCGTATGAAAGGACAGAGAGAGGATACCAGTGGATGACTGTATTTCAGAGGGGATTTTGGTACCACAGTGCCGCCCAATCAGAGGTCCCACTGCAAAACACAAATGTAGGAAATGGTTTCTCAGTGCTGGGATGTGAACGGGTCTCATTTGCTGCAGCTGGCCACTCATAAGATAAGGCTGGTTATTCTGTTTATGTGCCTAAAACCTATACAACACCACCTCTCTGAATTCTGGGACGTTTATCTGTCAACAAATGTATATGATTTAGTTTGGTCAGGTTGTAATGCTGTAGAGAGGCTGCTGTCTCACAGTAATGAATCCATCCTCCATCCTGACGCACACACACACACACACACACACACACACACACACACACACAATCTCATGCTATGAGCTGAACATACAGACATGTTAAAGGTATATTGCATTCACACACACACACACACACAAATAAAACAAAATAGAAAAGTAAATTAAAATAAAATATAGTAAAAGTCTAAATTATTTTCCATTGTAAACAATATTATGCCACAGATGCTTTCAACAACAGATCTTAACTCGTATTGTGCCCACAGCATTCATTTAAGGTAACTTCATCAGTTAAGTTACCCTGAAACCCTGGATAAATCAACGGATATCAATGATACACAGATCTCAGCTGCATGTACACACCTAAAACAGAACAACCTCGCTTATTCTGAACACACACACAACAGAGCCAAAGCGTCTGGGTGAAGTATGGTCCTCGGGCATGTTGGCATTTATGACAGCGGTTTGTCAAGATGGATGCCTGGGCCGTGGACCCTGAGAGCGAGGGAGTGATGTCAGGTGTTAACACAACACAACAGCTGTGAGCTCTACCAGAAGCCCACAACTCAGCAGCATCCTGACACAAATACGACACACCACTTAAAGTAACACCAAAAGTAATGAGGCTCATTTTGAAGGCCTGGTGTAGCACCTAACCCGGCCGACTTCCTGCCAGAACCAGAAATCTCAAATCCATATGTCTGTTCACAAGACTTTTGAGATTCCACAATGCATTGTAAGCAAGTTGAGAAGAATGGGAACTTGTAGACACGCAAGTGAGAGAGAGGAAACCTCACCTGGATGTATTCTTTGTTGCTGTCCTCATTGGGCGTCCAAGCGTTATCTTCAAAGTTAAGTCGAGCCTGTCTTGGGGACCATCGGCCATCATAGAAGGAGGATGACGCAGAGATCTGGTCATCGCTGATCTTGTTTGACTCCATGCCAAGAGCATTACTGCAGTGGAAATCTGAGGAACACAGAATTTTTCTTATATTAAAGCAGAGATAAAAGACAGACACGCAAATAAACAGCAGTGTTGCTACTAACTTTGTAGTCTGATTAATTTTATTGAATCATATTGAACGGGTTTGTTCAGTTTATGTAAAAAAACTTGTTAAAAAGATAAAAAAAACACCCTCTTAAGTAGGTTCCATTTAGTTCCAACTACATTTTTGTATTGGTAGATGGACCAACAGTTCAGTTTCGAAGCTCAAAGAAAAAAACATGACTTACTGTCATTGACCTCCTTGAAAGTCATGTTGTAGCGAGCAGAGAATCCATCTTTGGCCACGGCCATATCCGTATGAAAGGACAGAGAGAGGATACCAGTGGATGACTGTATTTCAGAGGGGATTTTGGTACCACAGTGCCGCCCAATCAGAGGTCCCACTGCAAAACACAAATGTAGGAAATGGTTTCTCAGTGCTGGGATGTGAACGGGTCTCATTTGCTGCAGCTGGCCACTCATAAGATAAGGCTGGTTATTCTGTTTATGTGCCTAAAACCTATACAACACCACCTCTCTGAATTCTGGGACGTTTATCTGTCAACAAATGTATATGATTTAGTTTGGTCAGGTTGTAATGCTGTAGAGAGGCTGCTGTCTCACAGTAATGAATCCATCCTCCATCCTGACGCACACACACACACACACACACACACACACACACACACACACACACACACACAGAGTCCCGGATGGGTGAAATAGCCTCATATCAATCAAGTACATTGATTTTCTTCTCTTTTGGAGAGGAAAGGGCTTTAATACCGCAAGTGCTCTCGAACGGGAGCTTGAAATAACTCTCTCTCTCGCCTTTGATGGTGTTGATGATCAAATCAGGTGACTATTGTATACTACTTTGATCAGGACGCTATATGTGTGTGTGTGAATCTTGCTTATCGAAAGTTGCTTACAAACCCCCTTCAAAAATCACATTTCAAAAAGAAAATGTAAATAAAATCCGGCAAATGTAAAAGCAGGCTTCCTTTTTCTCAGCAAGGAAAATGTATATTGCATATTGACAAAATTATAATATTAAGTATTACAAATTATATTGATATATTATACATATATAGAACATAAATTGCACAGTTAAGCCAATTTTCCACTGTATTATCATATTTCATAAAGTGAAATGTAAAAATAGGTATTTTTCAATATTAAAAATAATATTGAAAATATTATAATATTAAGTAGCACACGCTATAAAAATAAATTGAATTATATTTTTTCTTCATATGGAAAATGAAGACGTTTTCCACTGATTTTATTTACGAAAAATAAAAATATGGTGTAAAATGTCAGTGAAATTGAAAAAAAAAATTAAATCTAATGAAAATAATATAATATTAAGTAGTATATATATTTTTTTCATAAAGCAAATAAAGATGCATTTGCACAGTTAAACATATTTTCCACTATATTTTCATAACAGTAATGAATATGGATTGGACAGTATAAAACATACAACCATAACATGCAAACACATTACAATAACGAGTATGGGCTTTTTTATTATATTATATAATGAGAACTGTACTACTAGCTGTTGAACCTGACGTTCTTGGTCAAGTTGGTTAGATTTATTAGACCACCTTAAATATACTGTTACGTTTTAGTGTCTACAGTTATTGTGTCTGATTACATGAGCGTGTGCAGCGCTACAATATGAAGCCCAACCCAGAGGCAGAAAGGCAAGGGTGGGGGCAGTATGGGGGTCTCGGGGCTGAAGCATTAATAAGACAGCTGGGGGAAAAAGAGTGTATTCCACAGCGCTCTGTTCCAGACAAGGAGTAAATCCTATTGCAGTGTTATTCATGCCCCATTTTCACTTTCCTGATAAAGGTTACCATGGCTGCTGTTACCCCCCGTCCTCCGTCTCCTCCACCCCTACGTGCAGAAGAATATGGGTTCCGTGGCTTTTTGGCCCCGCCTGGCGCAGATAAGGCAAAGCAAGGCCCTGGGCTCCGCTTTCATCTGCCAATGCTCGCTACTAAAATAGCTCCAGCGGCAGCCGCAGTAACAGCACGACAGCAACACGCCTGAGCGTCATACCGGCGGAGCTGCAAGCGCAGCGGCCAAAGGACGGGTGGTGCGTGTCACAGGGCAAGAGCCAACAGCTGTATAGACTGGTGGATAAACCAACCAGATGGTCCATAGTGCGATAGTGAACGGCATGTGGATTAGAAATCATTAAGTGACCAAATTACGTACGGCAGACATGCAACATACTGATCTCAAAGCAGACAATGAGGTCAGAGGGAAATGGGAAACGCAATCCTCTTAAAGTCACGGGTGGTCTGGACTTTGGAATACCGTGGTCTAATCCGAACCTCGACTGTAAATCCAAACTGAATTCTTCAGGATTACAACATCTAGACTCACCCTGCGGGAGGCCGTCCCACACCTCCAGCCAGTCGTACTTGCACTCGCCCTCCGAGCCCTGCAAGGGGTCGTTCTCCAGGTCAAAAGTCAGGAAGGTGAGGGTGACGTCCATGTGAGGAGGGACGATGATGATGAAGGTGCACTCCAGATTGTGGGGGTATTTGTCAGGGAAGCCGGGCGACTCGATCACACCTGACGGAATGGTGAAGTTTCTGGAACAGTCGGAGCCTGGAGGAAGAGAAATCAGAAAATATGTGAAGACAGCAGCTGAAACACACCGTTATGTGCATGTGTGAGACATGACGCTTTTGTATTGACCAAAACATCAGAGAGTGGGCTTGTTCTAGAGGGGCTGGAGAAACACATGCTTTCTTTTATCTATCGCACACAGAGAAATAGCCACACTCGGTTAGCTTTCTGACAAAAACATATTGATGTAAACGAAAACGGGAACATTCATCAAAGTGAAGCTTTATATCTGTACGGAAAAATCCTTCATCAGCAAAAGTGCTGAATTCGAATGATTTCCCATCCCTGAAGCTGCTGTCAATATTCAGTTACCGCTATAGTCAGATGGCGCTCAGCGATTCTCATGCTGCATGTTTGTGTCTAATGCAGGAGGGATTTCTGTGACATAGGCAGACGTACTGTATGTTAAGGTGTCATTTTAGGACATGATGTTGTATGACACGCATCTCAGTTTAACCTTGTGCCAGAACTGTACAAGCAAGCACACTTGTTCACTCTCTTCAATTTTAGTATTGAAAAGTCTTATTCATTCCATTATATTGGTTCATTTGGATGGTTCTTGTAGTGAACATATTCATAAAAAGGTTCACTGATTTGAGTCCCATACATAGCACAGAATATTTAGACCATCACTTTATTTTAGACTTTTATATAATTTCTATATATTAATGTTTTGTGATCATATGTTGTTTAAAGCTAGGTCAATTTCTTGTATTTTTCAGATACATTTTTATTCAGGAATGCAAACTTTGTTCTTTAAGGTGTGTCATATTTATTGTTTCCCCAATCAAAATAAGAATATTTTCAACAGGAATTTGTGTAATCATGAATTTTGTGAGAGGGCGAAAGGTTTTCCCAAGCAGATTTTGCAAAAAGTTCAAATTAGTCACATGGATTCGCACACTTACTGACAGAAAGCTACTTGGTTTTAAAGTGACTTCTGTTTGAGCTGTGATTCATGCATTGCTACCCTATTGACAATGCACTTTTTTTGCTGATGTGAAATTTTGCGAATTCTGCTGGGTCATTTTTATTTAGCTTTACAATATAAATCACCAAACAATTTAATTGTATGGAAAAGAGCAGCTTGAACATTCTGCTAAACATCTCTTTTTGTGTTTCACAATAGAAAGAATATCACAATGCTTTGGAACAATGGGTAAATAATGACAGGATTTTCATGTCTAGGTAAACTAGCTATCCCTTTAAGGCTGTGTAGTAAACCTTTATAGTTTCAAGCTGGTTTTAAGCCTATGCTGGATAGTGTTTAGCTTTGGACCACAGAGTTAGTGTTCCCTGTATGCTAACACATGCACAGTCATGCTTCACCTTCAGCCGTGACACAAGTCCTACACACCAGCCTTTGACACAATGCACGGCACATTCATGTGTAACGCCACCTTTTCAGAGACACACTGCTCATACTAATGCACAGAAGGGCAAACACATGCTCACCTCAACACACACATGCAGTCAAGCCCATGAAATCCCATGATGTTCTTCCTGTAATCTCAAAGGATCTCCGTTTGAGGCACAGGAAGTGCTGCTCGCATTATTTAAAAAATAAAAGCACACATGAGAGCAAAAGTAAGAGAAATCGTTTGAGGAGCTGTTGACAGGGGCTGTGGGGGTAAAACATCAACGGATCAGAGAACAAACGCTCAGTGATCTGTAACTCTTAACTCTTCAATAACTCAAATGCTTTAACTATTTCTGTGCTCGCCGAGCAGCTGTGTGGGAACTGGGAATGACAACTGTGCTTCACGCAACCTCATATCACCTATACACATACTGGGACTGATTTCTTCCGTCAAGACTGTCATATTGTTACACGAATATCCCATTTGAAAATTAACAGAGCACTATTTAAAGTACTAGAGCTGTAGACTGCAGTATAATGTCTGAGGCCTTAATGACAGGTCAGTGACCCCATGTGGACGGGTTCAGACCTGCCCTTGAGACTCACAAACATGCTCACTCACACAGATGCTCTCATGCACAAGAGTCTGCAGAGATTCTAGAATGTGGCAGTTTAGAGAGACCTTTTTTGAGGTCAAAAGGATGCAAGTTCAATATTCGCCGCAGTAGCATTTTTAATAAACCAAAAAGCAAATGTGGTGTGCAAAAAAGTGTATTTGGTCCAAAGTAAACAAGCCAAACCTCGACCCCTGGGTGGAACTCCATTCCGCCCCAATTTACCTGTAACACCATGTCCAGTCCAATCTGTGCAACATTTTGGACTCAATAACTGTATACAGCTACATTTTTCTGTAAACATCTCATAAAGATCACGTAACTGCATACTTTTAGGGGTCTGAGGCGATCATACATGGATTCACCAAAAAATTTTTTTAAATAAAAATAAAGGTAATTCTTAGTATTCATAAACGCAATTTTATTTTTCTAGAACAAACTGCTTACTAGAAGACATGACCAAGATATTAAAATGAAATTGTTTTTATTTATTTTTTAATTAAATATTTATTACTATTTAATAATTTATTTTTAAGAATTATTTTAAAAATATGATTTATTTTAAAACTATTGGTGTTTTTTAAATTTTATTTGTATTATTATCAGAAATGAATTGAATTTTCTTTTTGTCACTGTATTTAATTTTCCTCCATGCCCTGACACTCTAATACAACAAACATTAATTTTTTTTATAATTGCAACTTTATCTCTCACTATTTTGGCTTTTTTTGTGACACTGACTTTATATCAGTGTGATTTTATTTTATTTTATTTTAAGTGCATTTCTGTAGCTCAAACATTTATGGATGGCGCTAGGGAATTCCCAGGGAATACAAGGACTGATAGAAATTCATATTTATATATATCTTGAATGCAATGTCGCAAGTCGCTATGAATGAAAGCAACTGCCAAATGCATAAATTTTTATTTGTTTTAAACTTCATCTCACAATTTCCTTTTTTATTTCTTCTAAGGCGGTAACCAGCTTTCATTGAGTTTGGTGGTGACAGCTGCATTAATCACATATTTTTAGGGAGGCTAGTATGATAGACAAGGGGGTCTGAAGCCTTCTTAAATAGGGTGTAGAATCACCTCTGCTCGTGCACTTGCTCAGTGTGGGCAGCACACAGGAAACCAGGGTCTGTCTGGCACCCCAGCAGCTGAGAGAGAGACAGGTCCCAGAAAGATAGCAGGCCAGGGTTAATGTTACACCCTCCTGCACTAATACGGCACACTACATCTGTTCAAGGCCTGCGCACGCGCGTGTGTGTATGTGTATGAATGTGTCAGGCTCACATCCTTGGCAAATGGTCATGCATTTCCACTAGCACCTGCCTGTACACGTCACATGTTTGAATGTTGCTTCTCTCTAACACACATGCACTCTCTTTCCTTATTGTTTCTCCCATCTCCAGTGATCAGCAATATAAATAACTCATTACATACAATATATTTATCTGGGTAAAATCATAGCTCTGAAACAATTCCCAGCACATCTTAACACAATGACCAAGACTGATCCAGCAGTATTATCCCTGTCCACAGCCCAAAAATACACTCTAATGCTCAAACAAACCTCTACAACCAAATTGTTTAAAAACAATTTAGGGGTTAAATTTCAAAGAGGAATATCATCTAAAGCCTTTATTGTGACTACCATGAGGATATCTATGCCTAAAACAGCTTCTATCTAGCTAAGCAAGATGTTACAAAGTGTACTTGCAAGAGAGTTTGTAACTGTCTTAAAACTGTCTAATGACTCTTTAGTATTTTAAGACTTACTTCCTTATTCTTCTTTTGGAACTGAGAATCAAATTAATTTCTAACAGTTTTTCATCACAGACATGTGTGTATATTTTTTTATTTTAAAGATTACATATGTATATTATTTTAAAGAATGTTTTTTTTATACTTATTTATAATTATAATTAGTTATAATTAGTTATTTATTTAACTTTATATGTATCATTAATTGAAAATTAATTCCATTTGTGAAGTTTCTTTTCTTTTTATCATTGCATTTTATTTTGCCCCATTTCCTGACACTTTAATACCACATAAACACATTTGCGTGAAAACATCCAGACTGGCACGTTCCCTCCATTACTGGGTCAGATGTGCTGTCACACGCCTTTACCCTGCAGTGGTGACATTATGCTTTACTACAGCTTGTTTCTCAGACAGGCTGTCTGTATGTGAGTATATCTGTGCGTATGAGAGCCTGCCAGTCACGGGTTGACCCCTCATACTCACGCCACCTCAGATGGGCAGACAGTACGCCAGACCCCCGCTGAGCCGCTACTGTACTGGGCTGCAGTATGCATGAGTGACCCCGACGCCATCAGCCTTTTTGTTGGCTCTCTAATTAATTCACGTTTGTGAGCATGGTAAAAACAGCCAGCCTGCAGAAAGATGGGGAACTCTCCCCCACCCCTCCTCCAGCAAGGGAAAGCCACGCGTTGGAGGCTCAGCGCCGGGATTGGTGTGCGTGGCTGGGTCTGTCTGTGGCCAGAGGGAAATGGGGGGGCTGTTATTAAGGAGCGTTGCTGGGTAGAATAGGAATGTTTGTCATGGATGAGGTAATGGTGTGTGTGTGCGTGTAAGAGAGATTACAGTACTATATGTGTGAGGTGTGCTGGCATGATTTTCATCTAAGCCATACAACATACATGAGCAATGATGCAGATGTTGGGAACGCTTGGATATTTATTAATATGTGTATAGAGATTTCTGGCTTTTAGAATGTCATTTGCACTTTAGCAAAGTTTGTCATCACTTTAATATTTGTTTAAAGGAGTAGTTGGCTCAGAAATTAAAATTTGCTCAGTATTTACTCACCCTTGTGTCTCTTCAAACCTGTACAATGTTTTTATTCCATGGACAAAACACAACAACAATGATTTATAGTGACAATGTCTGTCTAGTTAAAAAAAAAAAAAAAAAAAGTCCATATGGCTTGTGCATCATATTCCAAGCTCTGCATAGACAATTGATAGTTTGAAAGC